ATACCACCTACCGCAAAACACAATATCTGCCCAACCACCAACCAACCATTCACGCAATATACACAGGAACGTAAATATCAAAAAGATATTTTTCTGGTTGTCGGACAGCAGTTTGCACCAATTCTGTAGAATAGCCCATGGGCAATTCATTTATATATTGCCACTCTGGAGAAAACCGTGATGTCATCATCCAGCTCAGTTCAGTTCTCATATAATGGTGTCAATGCAGGCAGATCAATATTATTGTTGAAAATGTAATTAAATGTTAAATTTAATGTCCCCAACTAAGCAAGCCAAAAGCCAATGGCAACAAAGGCGAAAAAGGCGACAGTGGCAAGGAACCAAAACTCCATCAGGTGGCAGAATGGAGAAAAAAACCGTGGGAGAACCCAGGCTCAGTCGGGGGGCCAGTTCTCCTCTGGCCAACGAACGATCAGTGTATGATTATGATTCAAGCAGCATTATAGGTCAGAAGTCAGATTGGATTGGAACAATTAGAATATTATCCAGTTCCATCTAGTTTAAGATAAAAAAGGTACAATATCTGAAAAAACCCTACTTAACCTACAGTAACGTGAGTATTTGTAATGTGTTACTTCACACCCCTGCAGTTCAGGGATGCGTTGTGGTCGTGTCTAGGCGCAGGTCCTCCATCTGATATGGATACGGCCCGGATCCAGCTGATTACAGTACATCTTGGAAAAAGCAGAAAGCCTAACATTCCATTCTCCTGCCATTCTTCTAATGATGTAACAAGTACATTGGGTGTTATAGGAAGTGTTCCCGGTTCCGGCTGACCTAATTTATGCAGCCTAATAATCATTTAACTGATTTAAATAATATGAGTGTATAATGTTCTATGTGTATGCCAGGTTAAAGAGATGTGTTTTTAGTCTAGATTTAAACTGACAGAGTGTGTCTGCTTCCCGGACAATGTTAGGGAGACTGTATCCGAGTTTAGGTGCTAAATAGGAAAAGGATCTACCGCCAGCATTCGAATTTGATATTCAAGGTATTATCAACTGGCAAGAATTTTGAGATCGCAATCAAATATAATGCGTTAAGAGCTCGCTCAAGTACTGGGGAGCTAAACAATTTAGTGCTTTGTAAGTAATCAGCAATATTTTAAAATGTATAGGATGTTTAATAGGGAGCCAATGCAGTGTTGACAGAACGGGGCTAATATGTTTATACTTTCTGGTTTTAGTGAGAACTATAGCTGCTGCGTTTTGGACCAACTGGACTTTGTTTAGTAAGCGTGCAGGGCAACCACCCAGTAAAGCATTACAATAATCTAGCCTTGAGGTCATGAACGCATGAACTAACTGTTCCGCATTTTTCATTGAAAGCATATGTCGTAATTTTGATAATTTTTTAAGATGGAGGAATGCGGTTTTACAGATGCTAGAAACGTGGCTTTCAAATGAAAGATTGGTATCAAAGAGCACACCCAGATTCCTAACCGACGACGAAGACTTGAGAGAGCAGCCATCAATTGTTAGACCGTATTCTAGGTTAGTACGTGCGGAGGTTTTTGGTCCAATCATTAGAAACTCTCTTTTTTCAGAATTAAGAAATAGGAAATTAGTAGTCATCCAAATTTTTATATCAGCTATGCATTCCGTTAATGTTGAGTAACACTAATAGAGAGATACAACCAAGATCGAATGATAAGAGCAAATCATTTGTAACTCTAATGCGAGCAGTCTCAGTACTATGGTACGGTCTAAATCCTGACTGGAAATCCTCGCATATTCCATTTCTTTCTAAAAAGGAAGATTGTTGTGAGGATACTGCCTTTTCTAGTATTTTTGACAAAAAGGGTAGATTTGAGATCGGCCTGTAATTGACTAATTATCTAGGATCAAGATGCGTTTTTTTAATAAGAGGTTTAATAATAGCCAGTATCAAATGCAACGAATGAATGGAATTTTTCCTCAGGGACACTACAATGCACTGCCTGATGCGATACTGTAGTAGACGGATGCATAGTTATAATTTTCTCTCTAATATTATCAATCTTGTAAGTAAAGAAGTTCATAAAGTCATTATTGCTATGCTCTTTGTAAACTTCAGAAGTAGAAGCTTTATTTCTTTTTAATTTAGCCACTGTATCAACCTTGGCTAAATGGCGTTTACACAAGACTAGATAATGATCTGAGATGTCATCGCTCTGCTGCAGAATTTCAAAGGCATTAACATTGATTCCATGTGACAATTTTAGATCTAAAGTATGATTATGACAATGAGTGGGTCCTGACACATGTTGTCTAACTCCAATAGAGTTCAGAATGTTTCTAAATGCCAATCCCAATGCGTCTTTTTCGTTATCTGCATGCATATTAAAATCAACAACAATTAGGACTTTATCTGCAGACAGTACTAACTCTTGTAGCCAGTACTATAATCTTGGGGGCAGACTCATTTAAAGTAATGTAATCGTCTGGTTTTAGCCAGGTTTCTGTCAAACACAACACGTCTAGATTATAATCTGTAATCATATCATTAACAATAAGTGCTTTTGAAGTAAGGGATTGAATATTCAGCAACCCGAGCTTTATCATTTGTTCATCTGTATTATATCTATTTTTTATTTGTTGAACATCAATTGCATTTTTACCCTTAAATGGGTTTGGGAGTTTTTTTGTAATTCGGGGAACAGACACAATCTCTATATGATGATATATATAGGTGAAAGAGTCTCTATGTGATGGGATTTATCTGACCTCAGTGACATGAGACAGCTAGCAGATGATCAGTTTGGCCAGTCTGTCTGCTTCCTGACCTGAGTCCCAAATCGTCATGTTTGAGCTCTAAGACTATGTGCCATATTACTAGAGAGAAGGGCAGCACCATCCCAGGAGGGATGAATACCATCTCTTTTCAACAGGTCAGGTCTGCCCCAAAAACTTTTCCAATTGTCTATGAACCCCATATTATTTTGCGGACACCACTTAGACAGGTGTGTAACTCAAATAAGTAACCAAGGCAACTCACAAGGAAATCAGACAGGCAGGCAAGCATCCAAAAACCCAAACACAGACAAACCAAACATAACCCTGACAGAGGGAGGGGGCTTTGGTGCAGGATGCAGATCAGGAACAATAGATAACTACAGGAGCCAGGGCGGAGACAACAGTGGGTGAATCCAGGGAGGAGATGACAGAGGCAGAAGCCAGAGAGAAGACAATGGCAGAAAGAGCCAGGGAGGAACCCTCAGCAGGAACAACAGGACGCAGGCCCACGACGGAGTAGATGGAGGGAGGAGCCATGGTGGATGACAGGTCGAAACCAGGGAGACAACTAATGGAGACAGAGCTTGTGGAAGTTGAGACCCAAACATAACCAAAGAGAAGAAGGGACCGGATGACACACGAGAAGAGGCTCTGGAGACCAAGCTGGAGTTGCAGGGACAAGCGGCCAAGGTAAAGACATGGTATTGGAGGACTGAAGTGAAACTGGAGGGAAGGAGGAGCCTGACGGAGCCACAGGGGTGGAAGAAAGAGTCAACGATGAGGCCCGTAAGTCTATGGTGAAGTCAGACCAAGGTGGGGCCGGTGGGACAAGGAAGCCCAGTGGAGTCGTAGGGACAACGGTCCCAGGTGGAGCCGAGGGAGCGAGGATCCAAGTGGCGCCGAAAGGTCGACAGACCGAGGTGGAGTGAGGGGCCTGGGGGTTATAGGCGGAGCTTGAGGGTCAACAATCCAGGGCTAAGCTTGCAAACTAGAAGCCCAAGGTGGATAAACGATGCTTGGTGTAGACTGTGTAGAAGGACATGTAAGGCTGATACAGTGAGATCAGATTGAGACAGTGAAGACAGGGCTGAAGAACTGGGCAGTGTGGACAGAGGGTTACCAAACAGCCTCCTTGGCTGATACAAGACAGGCATATAATTCAGGAAAGGCATCTTTAGTTGGCGCGGAATAGGCAGAAACTTCAGGAATGGCCTCCTTGGCCGACATGGGACAAGCAGAGACTTCAGGAACGGCCTCCTTGGCCGACACGGGACAGGCAGATAAATCAGAAACGGCCTCCATGGCTGACACAGAACAGGCAGAGGAGGTGGGAGTGGGAGGCAGGGCAGGAACATTGACGTGTTGCTGGGCTCTGGCAAACACTCAACATTGGACGTGTTCAGTGGCTGGCTGGGTTTGTATATAACACCATAGCAGGAATAGCAATGAACAGTGAGACATTTAAGATGATTTACAAGTCATTACCTTTACAAATAATTGGAATGGATTTTGAAAAAAATATATATTGGTAAAGACCGCAAAGACCGCTCTATTTACAATCACTTAAAAGCTGTCATTCATCTCCGTCTCACAAAGTTCCATTAAAATCAATAAATTTGTCTACACTGCATAATGAATCTCTTACTTACATTGTGTCTTTGTTTGTTAATGAGAGAATTCGCGAGTGTGCAGAACGCTGCACTGAACAAAAACTCAGCGTTTTCAGCGGTGAGTGGATTATGGTTGGCCATTGCATTGAAGAGTTCAACAAACATGTTTGTGATTGGCTACATTACTCACCGGTTCAAAAACATGTTGTAAAGAGAAATATTTGACGTTCTCCAGAGTGCAAAAACATATACGCACTGGAGCGTTTGCCAAATCTGTTTCACCAATAATATGATATTTTTACAGTATCAACTGAGGGTGCTTTTATACATTCGTTTGAGGGTGCTTGTATTAAAATTTTACTTTGTGATGTTTTTTATCCATGTTTTAATTTTCTAACAAAAAAAAATATTTGTGATTAAACATTAATTGGCAGACACACTGCATTACCGCTGCAATCCCCATAGGGGCTGCAAACCCCTGGTTGAAGACTGCCTTACGTACATATCTATTTCAATGGACATGACAAACTAATACATACACACATACATATGACCATTTATATTTATTGTGTACATGTCCAGATGTATTTGTACAATTTGATGCTATTGTACTAAACTGTATGTATGTGTGTGTGTCTGTCTGTGATGGTTTCAGGCCCTCTCAGGTGAGTCACCCCACACATCGCAGCAGACAGTCTCTAAACAGTCCCAGTCCTGGAGGAACAGAGATGGATCTTCTGGTCATGAGAGAGAGACCCAGAAAGGGGATCCGTAACAGTGGCTATGATGTGAGTGTTTTTCATGAAAAGCATTATAACGCATTAGCAAAATCAAATGGAAAGGGTTCAAAAACAGCTGGCAGAGCATGGAGTCAGCTACAGGTTGTGGCTTTGGATAAATGCATCTGCCAAATGCATGAATGTATAAATGTATACTGGACAGTTACATATGATATTGTAAGGCCTTTCTTGGTTGTGGGTGGGTTGTGATACGCTTGTTAGTTAGTTTACTAGTCTTTTTGTTTTTAGGCCATGTGTGATTGATTGACGGACTGATTTATTTATTGCAAAATAAATAAAGTAAAAAAGCTCTGGTCTTTATTTTTTTAAATGGAAGAAGAATCATAAGGTGATCTGAATCATGATGCATGTTCGTCACTATGATTTGGCATGGAGAATGGAATTAATGTTGACAAATTCTTATTTCTTTACTGTAAAAAAAATTGTATAAAGCATGTAATCATGTATAAAGCATGTAAGCATGAAGCTTACATGTGACATCATCAAGACAGAGTCAGCGGCACACACACAGTCGTGTCCTGGATCTTAATTAACTGTAGTATGCTGACTGGGTGCACCTCTCAGCAATTGTAAACATGCTGACACGTTTTATTTGAAATCGAGCTTAACTATTTTGAGCATGAAAATTGTCCTCTAAGCATTTAGTAGTAAAAAAAAGCCACACAGTCTTTGTCTCTGTCCATAATATGAGTTATACTGATGTGGATTCACCTGTTTCCCTGTACTTAAAGGCACACTGTGGAACTTTTCAACCTTTATAATATATTACCAAAACCCATTGAGATGGTATATCGACTTACAATAGGTTGAATGACACGTCTGCCGTAGCTTGAAGGTGTCTGTATCGCTTTTCCTAGCACTATGTAACTTCGGGTTTCGGGTAGGAACCCGAGCACAAAAAGAACTACAAAATTCAACCGCTTTACGGCATACGTCACATCCCCCACCACCCACAACTTCCTCAGATTCTGACGTGAGTGCTCAACTCCATAGATATAAACACTCAACTCAGATTGCCGTCTGTATGTTTTCGTCATGGCCGAACCAACAGCTACAAGGAAGAAGGCAAAGGTTTTGTCAGAGGACACTAAAAAGAAAAAGGCATAGTGACAAATGAAAAGCCAGGACGAGGATCACCAGCGTTCGCTCGCTGGCGTGAGCTAGTTACAGGAGGAGGAGGGGTGCCCGACCGATGCTGACGCTTGTCTGCACACAAATGCCGTTTCCAAGGTGACCCAGATCAATCATATAAGTAGTGTAGTATTTTCTGGTATTCCGGCCACAGTCGATGGTGTTATGAGTGTAATAAAATGCCCACAGCCCATTGTTCATTTCTACACACAAACACAGCCCGCCACAGTGCAGGGCTCGCACAAATAAAGTCGACTCATGTCAAATGTAGCAGCTACATTAAATGTAGTGAACGTGCCCACGACTCAGTGCCCACAAACACTACAGACAACATGTCCCACGGTTTCTGTAAAACGAAACCAACACACATAAGTTACAGTCAGCTCAGGCCGACGGTGTTTTTAGTGCAGTAAATGTGCCCGCCGTCCCGCGCCCACATTCACTCACAGACATGTTAGCACTAACCCCCACGGGGCTCGCCCCGCTCGCTCTCTCTCAGCAGACTGCTATAAGGGAATCGAGCGCGTCAAGGCTGCCCGCCTCAAACACTGCAAGCACACACAATCTAAAGACACGGGAGGCTGACCCACTGTCTATGGGCTGACCGGTTGACTGTTTGTTGACTTTTGCGACAGTGCTGCGGAGCTTGTGGCCTCTAGGGACGCTAGACGTGAAAGTTACAGGTCGAGCGCATAGACAGTAAAGGGTCGAGCGCCACTAGTGGCCAAAAGTTCCGCGGTGTGCCTTTAATGTGGATTCTGAATCTGTGTAAAAATAGCTTTCTATTTGTTACAGTAGCCGCTGTAAGGGAACTTGGATCAATATAAGTCAAAGGTGATTGAATTACAGTAAATAAGATCCGAATTAATGTGTAAATGATTCAGAATTATTATTTAACACTTTATCAACTATTCATTCATACAGGGACAGGGAAAAGTGTCCCAGAAGTCTAGCGTTAGACGCAATTTCTTTGACCGCAACCTGAGAGAATCAATATACCAGCAATTCAACCTAAGTTTGTTTAATTAAAGCTGCAGTCCGTAACTTTTTTGGGTTAAAAATTATCCAAAATAAATTTTTGATCAAATACATAACCAGCCAGTGTTCAAAACTATCTGCTTCCCTTGGCTCGATTCAAAACGGTAAGCTTGTAATAATGTTTTTAATTCCAGTGGTACTGGTGGATTTCCACTGGAAATTCGAGCATGTCTTTGCATTACGTCACATCTGTACACATAAAGATGTGTCCCGGCTAGGCTATATTGCGTGTGAGGATGTTGGAGGTGGAGATTTATAGCCTTTTCTTACAGCACTTGATATACTTAAACTTATCAATTTGATGGCGGATCCAGAAAGGTTCAAAAGACAATCACCAGTGACAACTGGAGATTCATCCGTTGTAAAATGCAAAAGACTTCGGACTTCAGAGTGGCTACAGAAAAAAAGAGACTGCAACCGGGCCCATGCGAAAACAAGGAAATAATATCGGAAGGGCTTTTGAAAGGTGGCGTGAACTCCGTGTTTTGAAGGGGTTCTAAACGGACGCTGAGACAGCTTTTTTTTCCGTGCATTGGAATATTGAATAATGCAATAAATATGCATCTGATTACAGATACGTGTGTTTGTATTTCAAAGAGAACCAGTTCTAAGGAACATTAATTTGTTGGTATGACAATTAGAAATTAGACTGTACAGAAATGGAAACTGAACTACAGGTAGCCCTAATACACATTAAATGTAGTCACGCAATGCTGATGTTGTTAATATTAACAATTTGAGAACAAAGTATAATTTGCACAGTTTGACGATCGTTAGGTTTAATCAGCGCGATTTACTGCAATGGTTTTTTTCCCTTAGTTGGTCAGAACCCTTATTCTCCTCAAAACATTGGATTCAGATATTGTCTTGGGGTCCTACGCACCGTTCTCCGGTTCTTATAATCCTACATATTCCCCCTTCGATCAGTGATGTTCCAAGTGAGGACATCGGTGAGCGCTGGAGAAACAGGCACAGAGAGCGAGACAGGCATACATTCAAACACAACACAACACTAAAGGGATGGACATGGTCAGAAACAATGCTCAGGTAGGCCGTCGCATTTAAACGATGCCCAATTGGCACTAAGGGGCCTAAAGTGTGCCAAGAAAACATCCCCTACACCATTACACCACCACCACCAGCCTGCACAGTGGTAACAAAGCATGATGGATCCATGTTCTCATTCTGTTTACGCCAAATTCTGACTCTACCATCTGAATGTCTCAACAGAAATCGAGACTCATCAGACCAGGCAACATTTGTCCTGTCTTCAACTGTCCAATTTTGGTGAGCTCTTGCAAATTGTAGCCTCTTTTTCCTATTTGTAGTGGAGATGAGTGGTACCCGGTGGGGTCTTCTGCTGTTGTAGCCCATCCGCCTCAAGGTTGTGCGTGTTGTGGCTTCACAAATGCTTTGCTGCATACCTCGGTGGTAACGAGTGGTTATTTCAGTCAAAGTTGCTCTTCTATCAGCTTGAATCAGTCGGCCCATTCTCCTCTGACCTCTATTATCAACAAGGCATTATCGCCCACAGGACTGCCGCATACTGAATGTTTTTCCCTTTTCACACCATTCTTTGTAAACCCTAGAAATTTTTGTGAAATAGTTGTGCGTGAAAATCCCAGTAACTGAGCAGATTGTGAAATACTCAGACCGGCCCGTCTGGCACCAACAACCATGCCACGCTCAAAATTGCTTAAATCACCTTTCTTTCCCATTCTGACATTCAGTTTGGAGTTCAGGAGATTGTCTTGACCAGGACCACACCCCTAAATGCATTGAAGCAACTGCCATGTGATTGGTTGATTAGATAATTGCATTAATGAGAAATTGAACAGGTGTTCCTAATAATCCTTTAGGTGAGTGTATATATATATACACATACATACACACACACATATATATATATATATATATGTATATATATATATATAATCAAAATATAAATGAAAGTCAAAAGCACATTTTTAGTCATACCTGGAAACAAATCCTGTTCATATATAGGTTATATGGGCCATTCTATAGAATTGGTTCAAAGTTAGAGTTGGAAACATCTTGACAATAAAATTGTCTTTTTCCATAAATCTCTTATAAAGTATTATTTTTTAAACTAGGCCAATACATTTTGTCATACATTTTTTCAAAGTTAAGGATTCATTATTTTGATATAGCCTAGCTTGCATTGGAACAAACAAACACTATAACAGTTGATTAGTTTATTTTTGACAAAACATACTATATATTTAACATATGAGCAGAAACTGTCTAACAAAAGCTTATTTGATGTCTATTTTAGAGTAAAAACTTTATAATCTATCCAAAACTGGTCAACGAAATGTTGTCGTTACAGACACTATTCTATATCGCAATTAGAACAAATCTCAGTAGGTTATAGCAATATAGTTTGGATGTGTTCATGTAAAAATAAAGTTTACTAATGTAGGAGCGAGAGTGAATGAATGCACAGATGCGATGTACATCTGTAGTAAACAACAACGCGTGCGTGCGTCTGTGCCATTCATTCATTCATTCACACACAGACACGCAATTCATATTTAAACAGTCTTTGTGCAGTTTACAGACACTATTCAATAACGCGATTTGAACAAAGAACTTAAGAATAAATAACTTACTGCATCAGCTGAATCCGTTGCTCCTCGAAATGAAACTACCAGCACTTCTGAGGTAACTTTTCCAGGATTATTCCGATAGTATTATTCCTCACAGCGTAGCAAGACAAGGTAAAGTACAAGATTCTTATTAAACTGGATGTTTTATCCAGCTGATGTGGGTGTTTTCATGGCTTGCCTCAACATTTG